CAAGAGCGTCAAAAGAAGATTCCTCCTCCAGAAACTAGAATTAACATTGGTGGTGGGTTACTTTTGTCAAAAGAAGAAGTTAATAAAATTGCAAATGAAATGGTTTCTCCTGTTTTGAATGAAGTTTCCGAAAGAGCCGACAGTCAACGTGCTGCTGACATAGATATTGCTGAAAGAACTCAAAGATATAACCAAGGTATGGCACAATTGGAACAATTACATAGAGCTAAATTGATGAATAATCAAAAATTGAGACAAGCAACTATGATGAGACATACTAATGAGAAGAAGACTGCCCAAGGTAAGGCAATGGCAAGATTTAGTGAATTGGTTAAGTCTATGGACACAAAAGTGGATGAGAAGAATACTAAATTAGCTGAAGCTGAAAAGGCCTTTGAAAACTTGAAGATAGCTATGGCTAAGAAGCTTGAAGATTTTGAAGCACACACTAAACAAGAAGTTACTAAGTGGGCTGAAAATCGTGAATTAGATTTGGAGGCGGCTGTCGACGAACAGAAAGAGTTGATTAAGCCATACCAAGATGATTTGAAAGCAGCTGAAGAAGAACATGAAAATTTGATCTCTGAAAGAGATGGCATCAATGAAAATATTGCTAACCTACGTGAAAAGATTATCGAACATAAAGATAAGATTATCAACCTAGAAGGAGAGATTGTCGAAAAGGAAGGGAAGCAAAAGGAAGAAGAGACTAAGGTATCTAAATTAGTAGGTAACAAAGATGATTTACAAGGGTTTGTTAGTGATATTGTTATGCTAAAGGCAGAAAAGGCTAAGGAAGAAGCTACATTGTCATCAGAACAAGCTAATTTGAGACAATCTGAGGTCGATGCTTTAGTTAATGAACGTAAGAGTGAACTGAATAAGGTAGAATTAGAATTAAAGAGGGAGAAATTGAAGTTGATGGAAGCATTGGGAAAATCAGCAGAAATGAAAGGTGAAGATAAAATTGATAATGAAAAGCTGAAAAAAATCATCAGCATAACCCCATCCACAGAGAAATTATTAGATGAACATGTTAGTAAACAAATGGATTCTGCCCATCAAATCTCAGCAGCAGCAGCAGCAGCAGCAGTTCCTGTAAGTTCGGGAGATGCTTCTGTTAATGTGGTTCCAATATCAGCCTCCACAACAACACCATCTTCAAATTCAGCGGCATTATTAGGCACTGATGAATCCAGCGATGCAGCAGTGTCTGCCTCAGCCAAATCGGTCACTGAAGCAAGTGGAGTTATTCCAATGGTTGCAACAACAGCTTCAAAATCTACAGCTTCGAAGATAACTTCTCCATTGTCAAAAGAAATACATGCGGATAATTCGGCAACTAATGAGGAAAATGAAGTGAAATCAACATTCAGTGGATTTTCCCAAGGAACATTACCAGATGGAGAAGAGGAACTAGAATCGCAAACTCATGAACTCCAGGCAAAGGACAGCTATTTTAAGGAAGTCTTCTAATTTGCACAAACAAGAAATATTAAACCAGAAAGAAAAAAAATAATGAATTGTTTTACAAAGAACAAGTAAAGTTAGATACAATTCATTACTATATATCATTTATTTACGAACCCAGTATATACTTTCTACACTCTTTATTCATTATTATCTCTTATATTTTAGGATTTAAATTTGTATAATTATTATTAATATGACACACTATTAAACCTCCTGTTCCTAGTATTAAACATGATATATACCAGATCACAATAAAACTGAGAACTGGCTAATCAGCTGTTAGCTGTTAGCTGTTAGCTGTTAGCTGATATCTAGTATGTACTTTATGTTATCCTTCATGCCAATTGTTGCGTGTATGTTTCGTCCTTGTTTCATCAATGGCTATTATTATACAAGTTACCTGTTTCTAACTGATACCATTTATTACGTGTAATATTATATAGAGAAGAGTATTAAATGGCGCTATCACTATCCCATCATAGTAAACGAATATGATTTTTAATATTGAAGTATAAAACAAGAACATATTTAAATTATTGAACGTTTAGATTGAAGATGTTAATGCGATTCAGCAATTGATTGATTGATTCGTATCATATTCTGATTTTAACATCAATTAGGGGATTGATTCAGGTATTAATAGTAAATTATAAATTAGTTGCATAATTCCATTTTATTGTTAACTTAATATTGTTGAGGGAATTGTCAATATAAGGGAGAGAACTATACAAGATATCATAATTGATTCAACCTAAATTTTTTTTGTATTGGTGAAAAGAGCTAAATCCTATAGATAAAGAGTTTCTGGACATTTAACATTTCAATTTTTATTGTATTATTGTATTATTTTTTTTTTTATTTGTTATCTTTAATAAATTTTTCTCATCTAATTTTTTAAACTTTTTGTATTTTGGGATCTAGAGTACTTTGATTTTTCTTACCAAACATGAATAATCAGGCACAGCAGGTCCAACCTCAACATGTTCATCCTCACTATACCTTACCTGGTATCATGCATTATCTTCAAACAGAATTTACTAAAAATGAAAGGGATAGAATATCCTGGGAGCTTGAAAAATTTGAAATGAAATCAAGAATAGCCCAACTAGAAGGTGAAAACAGAGACTTGCGTTATAAATTATCGAAATTAAATGTATTGAATAATAATCATAAGTCAACTAACGATGTTGAAAATGAAAAAACATTAGATGAAGCTCAGGTTTTTACTAATTCAAGATTAGCAGTTCAAGAAAACGTTAAAGAAATTATTTATTTATTAAAAAATACAAATATCGATGTTTTAAACAATGTTAATATTGATTCAAGGGAAAAATTGCATAATTTACAATCGTTAAATGCTACCTCATCTGTGGATCAGAAAATGGTAGCAAACCAAGAGCTTACCCCTAGTTTCCATGAACTTTTATCAGATTCTTCAATTGAAAATATTAAACTTTTAAAAGTATCAAGTGATAATTCGATCATTATTTCAGGAGATAATTCGATCGAAAAATTCAATATTGATCCAAATAATTTTGGTAAATCAAATCGTATGTTATACACTGGGGTTTCCTCAAATCTTATTGACGTTTATGCTGCGAATAATAATATCATATCATTAGATGATACAAATATCAAGACATGGTTAGTGAATCATCAAGATATTAGTAGCACATACGATTTATTGAGCTCAGACAATACTGAAATAGATTTGAAATTAGTAAGAGATGTCGATTTTAAAAATAATTGGTTGTTATTGACAACAAATGAAAAAATACATATTTGGAAGATATTATTACCGCAAGAAGATAAAAAAAATGAGATTACAATTGAAACAAAACAACAGATTGATAAAGAGTCAGAGAACAGAACAATATTAAGTGCTTCATATGGTATTACAGAAAAATCAATTGTCGTTTTCTATAACAATCCTTTTGAATTGATAATTTATAATTTCCAAGGTACAATTTTACAAAAAATTGATTTGTCTAATTCAATTGATATTACTAGTGTGAAACCAGATTTATCAGATGTCTTCATAAAACTCCATTTAAACAAAGATAGTTCTAAATTACTACTGCAATTGGATAACTTGATAGTTTGTTATTCATTTGATCAAAGACAAGTTGTACTAAGGTATACATTACCTTCAATTCCTGACGCTATCTCATACAAATTTATAAAAGATATTATAGCAATATCATACCAAGATGGTACAATGGAAGTAAGGAAATTATCAAATTTCAATAATATAATTAAGGAATATAAATCAAAAACTGCACCTTCTACCACTCATCATTTATTGGAATTGTTCATTGTTAATAACATCCCATTTCTAGCATCCGCAACTAATAACAATAAAATCACTCTACATAAGCTACCAGCAGCACTATGAATTGGAACTAAAACTCATTTCGATGAGTAAATATGTATAAAATGTTTAATTATATCTCTTTCTAATAAGATTTAATGATATTCTCATACTCTTGAATTGATATCCCTATGTTGAGATGACCTTGATCTGATCATGTGATTAAGATATATTGGTATAACTGTATATATCATGGTGTACGAACATTGCAAAAAATTGAAGAAACATAAAATATCGAAAAGTTTATCATTAAAGATTAAAATATAAACATTGACAAGCTAATCTTTGGAATTCCATCTCAAGTATAAAAACAGGTAAACTCTAATTTACAGGGGAAACTACATCAAGGATCAATTCTAAGATTGCTATTTTTTAATTGAGCAGCAGATTATCTGCAGTTATTATTTTTTAATTTGTCTATTCAATTGAGTTTAGGACAATTGAAAAAAATTATAGAATAGTACTACTAGAAAGCAATTATGTCCTTATTATCTAAACTTGATGTTAGTCCATTACAATTTCAAGATCCGAGTAAAGATGGATCTAAAATAATTAACTTAAACCTGGATGGTAGTGGTGATCCTTTGAGACTCTCTGAGTTAGGTGAATCTGATTATTCCAATTCAATTAAAGTTCGCGATAATGAATATGTTACTTATCATCTATCCAATGACTATTCAGTTTTAACTATTTATTCGATGAATGATGCACTTCAAAATAAGACCATAAATATTAAACTGCCAGTGCAATCGACAAATAAACAGCACACTTCAATTGTTTTTGTTAAAGATGAAGCCTTCAATGTAGAATTTATTTTGAGAAATAGTATATATTTGAAGATTTCGATACCAATAGACTTTATAATAAACAATTCATCAGAATTAAATGAAGATTGGTTTTATGTACTACAGCCATATGATTTCTCAGTTAGAAAACCTCATATGTTACATAGAGTTTCTGATAATTTTTCAGTTGTTTTTCTAGAAGATGGTGGTTTAGTCGGTTTGACTTCACATGGTGAAACGGATTTAGAGCCAATTCTTTTCAATGATAATTCATACTTACAAAGCATCACAAGACTGTTCTCCAAATCAAAACATTCTAAAAATTCAAAAGTTGTAAGTTGTTCTAATTATCAAAGCAATTTCCTAATAGTTTTAACAGAAGATTGTATTTTAAAAATTTGGGATTTGAAAAAATTGATATTGATCAACGAATATAATTTATTTGATGTTAATAATTCAGATTTTATTGCAGGTGGTTTGTTTGATTCCTGTGGGAATTATTTGCATTTATTCAATAACCTATTAACAATTTACTTACCATTTACTAATGGCTTATTTCAAGTGGGAACATTAGATGTTGATTCTTCCGATAAACTAACTTTCCAATCCAAAATAGTTATTCCATCTAATTTACCTGCATCCTCATTATGGAGTTTGACTGATATGAGAATGATAAATCCATTAGATCTAAATTTACCAGAAACTTTTTTAAATATCATTGTTCTATGGAAAAGTGGTACCATGAGCAAATTACAAATACTTAATATATTGAACGAGTCTGTAGACTCATATGAATGGATTGATGCATCTAACAAAGATCTTGAAGAAACTAGAATAGAATCAGATATCGAAAGTAGTGATTTTTCTAAAACGTTGTTTAAATTAACTTCACGTTATCCAAAAGCAATTGTTGATCGTGCTATTAAAGTTTTGGAAGAAAATGGGATAAGTATTCCTTTACAAGAAGCTTTAGATGAAGAATATCTAGCTAATCTTGAAACCCTTCTTCGAGACATAAAGGGCGGTTGTGATGAAGCATCTTCTTTGACTCTCTATAATGATGAAATAATTGTAATAAATTGTTTACAAAAATACAATTATTCAATTTATAAAATAAACTGTTCATTGGAAAAGACGTATTTTGACATTAACGATGACAGTTTGAATGATGACTTGTCAAGGTACTTGAGAACCGTATGGGGTTTCTCTTCCACTGTTCCTGATCATGTATTGAAAAACATTTCACATCAATTTGTTGGTATTATAACAAAGTCAATTCCAAGCACATTAACTCCAAATGAGAAATTGACAAATATATATAAGACGTCATTGGAATCTCAATTGGAAATTACAAATATCAATACATTGTTTCGCGAGCTAAGTTCTTTCGATGTCATTTCAATACTTAATACATTGATAGATAACAATTTACAAGTTTTCAACAATTCTGCAAATACTTATGTAGATGCAATTAAGTCAGAAAGTTTTTCAAATATTATAACTATGAAATGTTTGAAAAACTTGATAACAGTTCAAAATAACTTCGTATTAAGGATCCTTCTAACATTCACACTTTTAGATTTTGATTATTCTGTATTTGAGAAGCAACTAAACGCCTTATTAGATCTGCATTATAAGCAAGTTTTGTTTATTTCTCTTTACGATTTAGATAAATCAAAGTTATCAAACGAATTATTCAAACAAACAACAAAGTTCGGACAAGGCATTAAATTATATTCGTATTCAGACTTAACTACGTTTTTGCAATATGCAACCTTTAAATTTTATGAAATTGATATTAATTCGAATACATATTTTCAGAGGTATTTTAATGATATGGTTGTCATTGACAAAGGCACCAATATAATTGAAAAAACCGAACTATTAGAATACATAGGTTGGCCATATTTTATTCGTGACAATAAGTCAAATGAATTTTTAATGGCAATACTTTTATTTTCATGTGGAAAATTTGGTCAGTCATATGAATTCTTTAAATTGCATGATTACGTGGAATCTATTGCAGATTCATTACCTCCATTCTTTATCGAACTAACGAAGGAAAATAATGAGAATTCTTGGAAACCATTGATATTATCATTTCAATCAAACTACAATCACACTTTGTATTATTATGAGCTTTCCTTGTTGTTTTCTAAAGAGGGACAACATGAATATGCATTAAGTTCGATTAAAAAGTCCTTGGAATATCAAATGAAAGATGTTGAGATTGAAGTTCCACGTGATTTCAAAGTTAAACAGCTAACACAATATTTGAATATGCTAATTCATTTCAATATGTTCAGGGAGGCATTAGATGTTTTGAGATTTAGCCATGTTGTTTTGTCAAACGATATTAGAAGAGATTATTTCAAATTATTATTGAACAAAAATGATATAGATGGCAATTTTTTCGCTACCCTATTGAACTTATGCTATACACATGAAGGACAAGATATGTATTTGAATCCTATTGATTTTGATATAATAGATGGTATATTAGTTCAAAAATTACGTGCATTTAGTTGGCCGACTTATAAGAGATTATACAGTTACCGTATGTTAAACAAAAATGAAAGAAAAGCTGCTGAAGTAGTATATGATTATTCTGTACAAGTGCATGATAATACATCGGAGTTGAAGAAATGTTATTTAATTATTATTAATATTTTATCAAGTTTTGAGAAAGAAAACGACCAGTGGATCTTATATAATGGTGAAATTATAACATTACATTCTTTGGAAAATAGGATTGAGAAATTATGAACTTTTATAGATGAAACATATATAGTATTGTTTATAGTAGAGTGATTAATATATAGGCTACTTGTTTTCTAATTAGAAATTGTTTTAGAAATAAATAAGTATTGGTGAGGAATGTAGGACTTTGAATTACTGGAAAAATTCCTCACATCCATCGAAAATGTTGGTATCTTTTATAGAAAATTCGAATAATCCACTAATTCGTGGGAATAATTTCTTTATAGATTTAAATTTAAAAAAATTTAATTTTCCAAACATATGTTTTAAAAAGGAAGTATGTCTTTTTTCATTGTATTCCCTTAAATTTATACCTTCCAAATAATAATAGTCAACAATATCACTTTCAGTTTCAGATATTTCTGGATATACTTGATTTGTAAATTGAGCTAAATCTTTTTCAATATGTTCCAAATAATTCTTACTAATATTTTCTATAATTTTTTCATATTCTTGATCAATATCTTTTGTTGATTTTAATTCAGGAGTGGAGGAGAATGGGGAGACAGAAAATAAATTGAAATCTTGATTGTCGTCGTTTAAAGAATAAAATGGGTCATTGGCATATTTCTCAAAAGGAATAAAATAACGTGTTGTATCTAAATCTAAAGTTGTAGAATTATCAAATTCTTGGAGCATTGTGCGATTACCAATGGGCGAACATAGTGACATTAGAAAGTTTGATATCAATAGAAGAAGAGAAAATAGTAATAGCATTAGTGAAAAACTAATCCTTGATTAGGGTCAACCTTTTTGTCCACTTTATACTATATCCAATTATTTTTTTTATCCTCTGGTTACAACTGTTGCATTCTTGAAACAAGATGTTTATTTATAAGACTGGTAAATTATCAGTATTAAGTAAACTATCATTGTATTTTTGCTTTACAAGCAAATTGGTTGAGATAAACAAGTCTAATGCATAGTGCCATGTGAGACCTTACCTCAACTTTAAAAATATAAAGTTGAGTACCCAGGGTGTAAAAGAGACCCTTTCATAATCAAGAATTATACATCTTATCTTGACTAAAAATAAGATTGCAATAAATGCAAACAAAGTCCATATTTGCTGTCACTTTTAAATTGCTGACATTACTAGAACTCGAATATTTGAATCGCGATAAAAGCAAAAAATCTATAAGTAAAATTGAATTGTCAACCAAAAAAGAACAAGTATCAGTCGCTACCAAAAATCCAATTGCAATATCATTTCAACTCTTTCATAGCAAAGTTAATAAAAAATGTATTTCACTTTCAATTTGAGGTTTGAAGTACAAACAACAATGCCATCACGAGGATAGCTCCAAGATGACCATCTTAGCACCCACTAATTACGTTCCGTCCAAAACGACATTGTGTGAAAGTGGACTCCCAGTAAGACGAAAAATCAACATAGGTACTGTATTTTTTACCTACAAGTTTATACATAACATATGTTCCTTTTGAAAGGCAACCATGAGTCCTTTTTTTTGTTTTTTGCGGCGAACCATCCCGTAAAGATAATCTTCCCAAAGAAAACCACCAATACCTTTCACATTAATTAAATAAAATTTCCCCCATTTTCTACAAATTTTGGAAAAACCTCTCGTTTGAAATTTCAATTCCAACTTCTTTATGGAAAACCAAAAGAAAACCCCAGAAGAAAAAACATTTTAAATTGCGTTTTTGTGTGGGGATTAGAGTTGAGATTTAACCGCTAAACCACGTGGGAGAACTGATACCGAACGCCGAGTTCGAGAAAGTTTCTTCGGAGCGCGCCTCTTTATATACCATAAAAAATGGTGATTCGCCCTGTATCTGTTATAGAAGACAATAGAGAGGGTGGTGTGCGGTTTCTCGGACGCTCTTCTTACCAGTATGTGTGGGT